GCCCCCGCCCGCCGGCCCCTGGAGGGGGTCTCGCCCGCGCCGCGCGCCCCCGGCCCCGGCGCGGCCCTCGGCGCCCGGCCGCCCTCGCCCTCGCCCGGCCCCGGCCGCGCCCCCGCCCGCGCCCGCCCGCGCCCCCGGCCCCGGCCCCGGCCCCGGGCGGCGGCCCCCGGCCCCGCGTGGCGGCGCGGCGCGGGCGGCAGCATGGTGGAGAAGCGCTGCCCGTTGCAGAGGGACGGCGTGTACCGCTGGTTCTCGGAGCTGCCGTCGCCGCAGCGCGTAGAGTTCCTCTGCGGCCTGCTGGACCTGTGCATCCCGCTCGAGCTGCGCTTCCTCGGCTCGTGCCTCGAGGACCTGGCCCGCAAGGACTACCACTCGCTGCGCGACTCGGAGATCAAGGCGAACAACCCGGCCGACCTGGGCAGCCTCACCAACCTGACAGACGAGGTGGTGCGCAGCAAACTGCTCGTGTCGCTGGCGCTGCTGGGCTCGGAGCAGCGCGAGGCGGCGGGCGTGCTCTACCGCACGCTCACGCACATCGACTCCATCATCCACAACTACGGGCTGCAGCTCAACGAGGGCCGCACGGGCGATGAGTTCCTGCTGCTCTTCACCATGGCCTCCAACCACCCGGCCTTCAGCTTCCACCAGAAGCAGGTGCTGCGCCAGGAGCTCACGCAGATCCAGAGCAGCCTGAGCGGCGGCGGCGGCGGCGGCGGCGGGGGCCCCGGGGGCAAGAGCGCGCTGCCCACATGCCCGGCCTGCCACAAGGTGCGTGCCCGCGCCCCAAGCCCCAGCCTGAACCCCAAACCTCACACCTCGCTCCCCAAGCCCCCACTGGCATCCCACATCACCGCAAACCCCTACCCGCACCCCAGGCTTCCGCCCCACCGTCTCCTCGCCACCCCAAGCTTCCACTCCGCACTTCACTCCGTGTCCCACGTCTCCCTCCTGCACTTCAGACCCCACCCTCACCTCAACCCCCTATTCCCTCCTTGCACTCCAAACCCGCACCCCTAGACCCCGCCCGGCACCCCACGCCCCCTGGGGCCCATCGCACCCGCTTTGCTCAGGGCCCGGGGGAGGGGGCTCCGGGACTGGGGAAGGGCGCACCGGGCAGAGTTCGCGGCCCGCCGGGCCTTCGGTACACGTCTTCCGCGGGAAGCTGGAAGCGCGATAAGGCCTTTGTCCCCTTCATCGGGCCCTTGGGCGACAGATAACCGTTACACATTGTGTCCTCTTGGTTTCTCCAAATCTGGTGTTTATTATCAGAAAAGGAAGCCGCTAGTGAGGTGGAGATTAGAAGGCGCTGTAACGATAGGAGACGTTCGCGGGGTGCTGTGCTGGGGCTCCCACGGCCTAGGTGTCCATTTCCCGGGAGTGGTGGGGTCGGCGTCGCCCCGAGGAGGTTAGGGTCGGCGTGGGCCGCAGGCCGCCATGGGCCACAGGCCGCCGTGTGCACATGTGTCAGTGTGTGCGTGTACGTGAGTACACGTCTGCTTGAGTGTATGTGCATTGTGTGTATACGTGAGTGTGTGCTCACGTATATATGTGTATAGAGTGTATATGTGTATTTCTGAATGTGTACGTGTGGTCTGTATTTATATTGTGTGTAAGAACAGGGCTGTTGTAACAGACGGAAAAGCAGGTTTGGAGCCTTCAACGCTTGTGAAACAGTTATTTCTCCGTGACCCGCCTTCCTTTTTAGAAACAAATCCTCGGCTGATTGAGAGTCCAACTAGGATTAGTTAAAAGATCTCCTGTCTCCAAATTAAACAGGAAGGGCAGAGTGGTCATTCAGTTAGAAATGTGAACTTTTGTCTAGATGTTTAAAAACTATGTAAACACAAAGCATTTGGGGCTCCAGTGTCTTTTTAACAGCCCCCTGGGATCCTGTGCCAGAATTGAGCTCCAAGTAAAAGGATTTATCTTTGACCACGTGTGTTGTGTGATTTAGGATGAAAACTGACTTTCTTTGGTAGTAAAAGATTGCAGTCATACCAGTAGTCTAAGTGCTTTTTGATAGTGTCTCCGCTGCCTGAAACTAAAGCTTTGTTTCTCTGGTTGGCTAGTGGTGGTTTTTAAGCTCTTTCAACTGTGGATTGTGGCTTTTAATGATTTCCTTTGAGACGGGGTTGTGATACCTACACTGGTTGTTTTTTTTTTTTTTTTTTTAGCTGCATTGGGTCTCCATTGCTGTGCGCAGGTTTTCTCTAGTTTCCGTAGTCAGGGGCTACTCTTCCTTGTGGTGCGTGGGCTTCTCATTGCGGTGTCTTGTTGTGGAGCACAGGCTTTAGGCGCGCAGGCTTCAGTAGTTGTGGCACGCAGGCTCAGTAGTTGTGGCTCGCAGGCTTTAGGCTGCAGGCTCAGTAGTTGTGGCGTACGGGCTTAGTTGCTCCACCGCAACTTCCCGGACCATCTTCCCGGACCAGGGCTCGAGCCCGTGTCCCCTGCATTGGCAGGCGGATTCTTAAACACTGTGCCACCAGGAAAGCCCCCCTACATTGGTTTTTAACTTGTCATATCTTTTTTGAGATATGAACCACCTCTGAGACTTTGGTTTCCTTTTTTATGCATGTGTTCAAATCCCATCCTAAAAATGTTTTTCCAGCTATGACAAAGGGAAAGCAGGGCTCTATAAAATGTGGTTGTCCATAGGGCACTCAGTAGGCTCTGGGGTGCTGGTGTTCATGGGGTTTCAGTCCCTGGTGGCCAGTTTCATGAGGTCTCAGTCCTCTGTTCGTGTTAGTAAACACTGGTAGTGTCTGTGGCTGTTACACCAGTCATATTCGCCTCTTGAAGGGGATTCCTTTGTGTATATGGATGAATCACTTTATAAAAGCAGAAGATGGCGATTATTTTGGCGGGGCAGCGAGCTAAAGCTAGAACAAAAATACCCTTTTTAAGAGAGACTTTTTGTCAAGCCAGAAACCCCTTTGATGAGATGCAGGGGCTCTGAATTGACCAGCTGTGTGACCTTGGCCAGAATCCTCTCTCCTTCTGGTTTTCCCTTTTGGGGTGGAAGGCAGGTTACCTGTCTCATGGGCTCATTTGGAGGGTTCCATGAGGTCCCATGTGAAGCGCCCAGGAGATGTTCTATGAGTGCTCTCTTGGCCTTGTCCTCTCTGGCTTTCCGTAGAGGAGCGCTAACTTTTTTTTTGGCTGCAATGCTGGGCTTGTAGGATCTTAGTTCCCCGACCAGGGATGGAACCCCGGCCCCTGACAGTGAGAACGCCAAGTCCTAACCACAGGACCGCCAGAGAATTCCCTAGGAGTACTAACTTAAGCAAGGCACGTTGTCAGGGAGTGAAATATTTATGTTTTGGAGTTTTGGTGTTTTCTAAGTTGATTTTTGAATGCGTAGTTACTTGGAGCTGGGTTTTTTTTTTTTTTTTTTTTTTATGTTCTGTTCATCTGTGGGAAATTGGAGAATTTTGCCTGACGTTTAATAATGAGCTTATAATGAGTAACCTTGGGGCCATTGCTTCCATGTTTCAGAAACAATCATGGTGTCTAGTTTTTTTTTTAATAAATTTATTTATTTTATTTTATTATATACTTTTGGCCTCATTGGGTCTTTGTTGCTGCGCGCGGGCTTTCTTTAGTTGCAGCGAGCAGGGGCTACTCTTCGTTGTGGTGCACAGGCTTCTCATTGCGGTGGCTTCTCGTTGCGGAGCATGGGCTCTAGGCACGTGGGCTTCAGTAGTTGTGGCACACAGGCTCAGTAGTTGTGGCTCGCGGGCTCTAGGGCACAGGCTCAGTAGTTGTGGCACACGGGCTTAGTTGCTCTACGGTATGTGGGATCTTCCTGGACCAGGACTTGAACCCATGACCCCTGCATTGGCAGGTGGATTCTTAACCACTGCGCCACCAGGGAAGCCCATGGTGTCTAGTTTTACCTGGTACATCCCCTGTGTCACTGCTGAACTTAAGTTCACTCATATTCATTTAACTTTCTGTTCCTTTGCTGCTTCCAAATTTATGCCTGACACTGATGCACAAGTCCTGTGAAATCTAACAAGTAAGCCTTTTGCCTTGTTAGTATCCCTAAATCTAATATTTAGTGCAGTCCTGAAAAAGCAGCCCCTTAAAGCTCTATTTGCATTTCTTTTGTAAGATGTTGTGTTTTGTTTTGAACTCTTTGAGCTTAGAGGCTTTGTGTTTATCTTTCAGAGATAAAGATGTTGATTGTTTTTTATTCTTTATCCTATTTAAAGGGACATACTTCTTGTAATTAAATTTTCTGATATAGTATTTGCAGTTCCTTCTCCAAAGTCTCACTGGGTTATTTTAAAATTCTTCTTGCTCCAAGGACTTGTAGAAGTTTAAAAGTGTGAAGAATGTAAAATAGACATTTTTACTTTCAGAAAGGAAGGTGTTCACAGGCTGGAGGGAGAGTGGGTGGCTTCACTGCGCTCAGTAGCTAGGTGCTGCAGGTGTGCAGTGTGAAAAACTGTCTTTCCCTTTTATTTAATTAGAAAGCCATAGTTTTAGGAAAAGTTTAAATTTATCCTTTACCATCTTTTCTATGTATAAGTGATAAAGTGCTGTGGCATATGCTTATTTATTTATTGAGACTTAATTCGTATATCATGAAATTCACTCCTCTGAAGTGTATAATTCAGTGGTTTCTAGTATATTCACAGAGTTGTGCAGCCATCACCACTGTCTGATTCCAGAACATTTTCATCACCCCTAAAAGAAACCTGTACCTATTTGCAGTCACTTCCCATTCACCCTCCCCCACCGGTGACAACCACTAATCCACTTTCTGTCTGTGGATTTGCCTGTTATGGGCATTTCATGTAAATGGGATCACACACTAGGTGGCCTTTTGTGGTTGGCTGCTTTCACTTAGCTTACTGTTCTCAAGGTTCACTCATGTTCTGTGTAGCCTGTGTCAGCACTTCACTTCTTCCAGGTTGAATAATTTCTGTTGTGTGGCTCTACCCCGTTTTGTCTGTCCATCCATCAGTTGATGGGTTTGTGAGTTGTCTCCGGTGCTTGCTTCTAGACTTTTTCATTCACGGCTAGTAGGCTCGTGTCTTAATCCCTTCCACCTAACACCTGCTCAGTCGTCTCCAGAGTGTCGCCCACACACGGCCGTCCGGAGGGACTTGGCTCTCACGGTAAGAGTCCACCCGGCGGATTGCTGGGCGTCGGCGCAGTGCCCGGCAGGTCTGTCCCTGGCCTCCCAGAGGAACTGCAGTGAGAGGTGGCAGAGGCCACTCTGCTCTCAGGACTGATGGTCAGCTCCGTGGTCACGCTGTGAGCCCCTTCTGCCGTCCCGTTCCGGAATCCTCTTGATCAGGATCCTCACGGACCTATTTCCAGAGGGCGTCGAAACTGTTTCTAAAGTGCTTGGTGCAGGAGTGTGGTGGGTGGTGGCCCTTCTCTGGGTGTGTGTCCTGTGGTACAGCTCCGGAGCCCTCCTCTGGGGGCTGAGTGCCCGAGAAACTTGGGGTCCACGCAGATACGGTGAACAGACCTGCTAATAATCTCTTGCCCAAGGCAGGCGAGAGCTTGCTTTGTCTCGTTGCTTTTCGTAAGCTGTTGGAAATCATTGCAGTTCAGAGGTGAGACACCTGGTGGTTTGTCATGTGCCGTAGAAATGGTTTCCTCTGGTTTCTCCTTTAACCCTAAACCCTGGACTGTTAGAGCTGAAAGTAGTCTGAAACCACAAGAAGGGACTTTGCCTGGAGCTGCTGTTGTTCCCACTCAGGTTAAAGGAAGAGCTGTGCCTGGAAGGCCAGTGTGGCTCCCTGTTCACA